TCTTGTGGGGCAAGAGTGCACCACCCCCCCCCCCCATGCTAGCAATCCAAAACAGTCCAGTGGCAGCTTTAAGACCAGGTTTTATTCAGGTACAAGCTCTCCTTCCTTTGTGAGGGCAGATCTGCACGTCCCCCCCCCAATAGCTAGCAATCCAAAACAGTCCAGTGGCACCTGAGCGGTGGGTGTTGCCTTCTGACACACTTCTGGTGATGTCAGGGGGTGTGGCATATGCAAACAAGTTATGCTAATGAGCTCCTGCGCCTCTTTTTCTACAAAATGACCCCTCCATAGACTGGAGGTTCCATTTAGCAAAACGCTGTGTATCTTGGCCACTGGCAAACCAGCGCAATGTCCCTCTACCTTTGAGACTTCTCAGGCTTTGTAAGGAATTACTGGGCAAGTTAAAGAGTATTTTGAAGCATTCGATGACTCTTAAAAGCAAGTTGCCAACTGACCGTGCCTGCTTCTGCGTCTTAAGCGGCAGAATATTCTGTAGCAGGCAAAGATTTTCAAGAACAGATGAGATGAGACCCAATGTGACTGTAGCCCAGTATTCTGTTTCCAACCATGGCTAGCTCGTTGCTAACAAGATGCCCACCAGCAAAGCATGAAAGTGACAGACTCAACAACTAGTATTCAGAGATAGACTGCTTCTGAACCTGGAGGTTCCTTTTAGCTAAGGGGTTAATACCCTCCACTTATCTCCAAATTAACACAATCACTTACTTGAGAAGCCCAGGTCTCTCTTCCTTCATACCTTTATAGCAGAAAGTAATTTTCCCGGAACATCGGACATCTGGTCTTGATCCCAAATGTTTTGGCTGTCCAGAGAGAAATGTCTGCTGGAGATAATGGGCCTGGGCAGACAAAGGAATAAAGTATTAGATAGGCAAAAGTTTATCTCAGAGAGGTGGGGATACATATCGAGTTGTTTTTAAGGGTCTGATCCTACCGCTAGAGGTTAGTTGGCATATGAGCTGGAACAACACTGACGTCTAGAGCCCAAGAAGGAAACTGCATGGTCTAAATCAATCGTTTTACAAAACTGATGGCAAAACCACACTTTTTCCCCCTGAATTAAAACTGGACAGTGCTGTTACTTTTAGTAACAGCCCCTCTGAGGAGTCCACACACCATCAGGCCTTGTATCAGTCATGGAAGCCTCTGGATTAGAAGGAAACCACTTTCTTAACAGTGACTCACAAAGCAATGCACCAAGCTGGCTTTCCTGGGAGGGGATAGTTCTATTGCGTAGCAGCATTAAGGTAAAGGTAAAGGTTCCCTTGCTCAAAAGCCAGTCGAGTCTGACTCTAGGGTTGCGGTGCTCATCTCCGTTTCCAAGCCGAAGAGCCAACACTGTCTGAAGACGTGTCCGTGGTCATGTGGCCGGCATGACTAAACACCAAGGCGCACGGAACGCTGTTACCTTCCCACTGAAGTGGTACCTATTTATCTACTTGCAATTTCTTGCTTTCGAAATGCTAGGTTGGCAGGAGGTGGAACTAGAGACGGGAGCTCACTCCGTCATGCAGCACTTGGGTCTCGAACTGCTGAACTACTGATCTTCCACTGCCTGCAGTTCAGCGTCTTAACCACTTGAGCCACCGCAGCTCCTAGGAGTGATTAAATAACACAGCCACACCAAATGCCGCTGAACACCACCATGGCCCACCCCACAGTGGAGACTGGTTGGAAGGTAGGAGGGCACGTATGGTACAGCTTGCAGAGATTCAATGGGCAACCATCAGGGGTCATTTTGTAGAAAAAGAGATGCAGACGCTCATTAGCATAACTCATTAGCATAACTCATTTGCATATGCCACACCCCTCACACCGGAAGTGTGTCAGAGGGCAACACCCACTGCTCAGCCTCCACTGGACGGTTTTGGATTGCTAGCTATTGGGGGGGGGGACGTGCAGATCTGTCCTCACAGAGGAGGGAGAGCTTGTACCTGAATAAAACTTGGTCTTAAAGGTGCCACTGGACTGTTTTGGACCGGGGGGCTGGGGAGAGCTCTACAACTTACCTGGCTGCTTCTTGCTCTGACTGAGGGCTGCTGGGAGCAGGGGGTGGGGCTTGTTGCATATGCCTGCCCCCTGGGCTCTTTACTGCTGGAGCTCTGCTCCTGTGCGCCCCTGCAGGAAATGACCCCTGCCCAGGAGATCTCCAGCCAACACCTGGAGGTTGGCAACCCTACATCGAGAGCAGCCAGTAGATCCATACCGTGAAATTTAGGAAATGACCCCTGGGCAACCTCCTCTGTAGGGGACAGATTGGAGATCCCCCAGAGAATTTATTTTTCAAGGGGCATTTGGGCCAACATATAACTCGAAAGGCCAATGTATAGCTCAAGAACACTGTTTTTAAAGCATCTCCAACGAAAGAAATAGGAGAAGGCTTTGAACACCAAAGGCTGGCCAGGTTAGCAAACGGGGGTCCGACGCAGCATAGGAGGAACCATGACGTATATTTGAAACCACCGCTGCTGCTGGAGTCCCATGCACAGTTCCTCAAAGTCCAACTGAACATGGGAACTGACTACCAAGTAAATATACATCGGACCAGGTTGCAAAACAGCCAGAAAAAAACCTCAACTCGGTCTTCTGACATGCCTTTCCTGGTGTGCAGGAATCACTAAGCGTTTTGAGGCATAGTAGAGATTAGTGTTATCTCAAATGATAACCCAGGAAAGACATGAAAGAGGTCTAGAAAATAATACACAAGGATGGGGGTGTAGCAGAGAAAGAACTTTTCCTGCTTTCCTCATAACACTAGAACACAGATGCACTCAATGAAGTTGCTAGGCAGTGAGTTTCCAATCCGCAAAACATACCGTGGAATGCCACTGGATGTCAAGTCCACCATCTTAAATGGCTTTAAAGAGGGGACACGTTAGACACCTTCCTGGAGGACAATCCATCAATGGCCGTGAGCCACGATGACAAAATGGAACCTCCAGGTTCTGAGGCAGTGTACCTGGGAGACAACAACCAAGGAGAGGCTTTTACCTCCATGCCGTTTGTACATCTTCTTGGGGCTTCCGGTTGTCCACTGCGGGGGGGGGGGAGGATGCTGGATCAGGTGACCCACTAGTCTGATCCAGTTGGCCCATTCTAGCGCCTGCCTTCTTCCTTGAGTGGATGGCTTCGGACTGAAATCTGAAGCACCCTGCTTATTTTGATCGATGCATTGATCTACCAGTTTCCTTTCATTGAGTGCAAGGTGATTCACAGGTCAGGTAATGCCTATGATAGGATATGCTCAGTGCAGAAGGGGGGGACTATGGAAGGGGAAATGTGCAACTCCAGGTGCTCTCAGATCACTTCCATCACTGTTTGCTTTTATTTCATTTATAGCCTGCCTGACTTGATGCACAAAGAAGGATTAGGAATAAAGGGGAGGCAGTAAAATCAGCATAAGATATACAACCAATATTGCACCAAAAATACCCTACAATACAGACCACAGTGCAGGAGTTACAAGATTGGGAAGCAGTGCAGGGAACTGTTAGATCCTGTCCAATTAAAAAAGTGGATTACAAAATTAGAAAACAATGCAAAAAATAACCCAGCATATAATGCATAGAGGCGGCTGCCTTAAATTAAAGATTAAATCCAGGGCTATTTTTGGGCAGGAACGCAGGAGGCTGGCTCCCAAGTTGGCTACGCCAGACAGGAACTCATTAGCATAATAAGCCACACCCAACAGCAGAAACTCATTAGGATTGGCTGTATTAGGGGTGTGTGGCCTAAAATGCAAAAGATTCCTGCTACAAAAAAAGGCCCTGGTTTTTGACAACAAACAAGGTAAGCAGAATAAGAAGCAAAAGGTGGGTGTGGCTGGATGACCACACTTCTGGCAATGTGGGGGTGTGGCCTAATATGCTAATGTCCTGTGCTGTCAAGGGTGTAGCCTAATATGCTAATGAGTGTCTGCTGTTGGGTGTGACCTGTTATGCTAATGAGTTCCTGCTGGGCTTTTTCTACAAAAAAAGCCCTGATTAAATCAAAGCATTAAGGCTCATCTTTCCAGAAGCCTAAATCCTTATTAAATGAGTTATTAGAAATAACGATGATCTCTCATCCCAGTCCCAGGAAATGGGGCGGTGCCCGCTCTTGAAAACACGCAGAAACTAATTTTGCCGTTGTGCGGTGATGGTTTGTGGGCATTGCCAAAGCAGCAGAGCTGCACGGCGGTCATGGCGAGGGTGCGCTCTGTGCATGCTCAGACACCCGAGCCGCACAGAGGCCGGGGTGGGGGAGCACACCGGGTGTGCTCAAGGGCGAGCGTCGCGGTTCCACGGAAGCCAGGGGGTGAGAGGGGAAGGAAGGCACATCGTCCGTGCTGTGCCAACCGAGCTCCGGCCTCTTAGGCAAGGGGACCGGCTGGCGAGAAGCCCGTGGCGCCGCCCAGAGGCGGGCCGGGAGGCGGCCGGGCAGGGCCGGGGCACATGATGCGCGGCGGGCCGGGCCAGCCGCAGGACTCCTCGCCGGCCGTGCCTGCCCTGCTGCGCCTGCTTGGCCGCGCGTCCCTCGGGCTCGGCTGCTCCAGCTGTGCGGCCCCTCTCCGGCGGGCGTCCCGGTCCCCGGCGGGGCTCCTCCTCCTCCTCCTCGGCGGCCCTTCTTCCCCGCCGGCTGCCTGCCTCCCTCCCTCGCCGGCCATGCCGGCCGGGCCGCCCCCGCCGCCGGCGACGCCGCTCTTGGCGTGGGAGCGGGTCCTGGTGCTGCTCTCGTGCGCCCTCTCGGCGCTGGGCGCCGGCCTCCTGGTGGCCACCCACGCCCTCTGGCCCGAGCTGCGCACCCGCGCCCGGCGGCTCCTGCTCTACCTCTCGCTGGCCGACCTCCTCTCGGCCGCCGCCTACTTCTACGGGGCGCTGCGGGACTTCGGCGGGCCCTCGTGGGACTGCGTGGCGCAGGGCGCCCTCTCCACCTTCGCCAACACCAGCTCCTTCTTCTGGACCGTCGCCCTCGCCCTCTACCTCTACCTCACCCTCGTCCGCGGCGGCGCTTCCGCCGCCGGGCCCGGCCTCCTCGGCCTCTTCCACGCGGTGAGGCTCGTGGAGCTCCGCTGGGGGGGGGGGCGGGGGGGGAGACACCTGGAGGCTTTGGGGCTGGGTCCGGGAGAGGGCGGGGTCTGGGGAGGGGAGGCCACCCTTCGAAGCAGCCGTTTCCTCCAGGGGAGCGGATCTCTGCCGGCTGGAGATCCGTTGGGAAAGCGGGAGGTCTCCAGGCCTCGCCTGGAGGCTGGCAACCCTGCTCTCTGACCTAGAAGGGGCAGGCGTCAGTGGGCACCCCCCACACACACACACACACACGGAGTAGCGCATCGCCGCTATCCCCACTGTCCAGGACTAGGGGCCCTGCCTTCTTCTTCTTTTTTGGGGATAAGGGTGACCATAGAGGGCCCTGACTTGATGCACAGAGAAGGATTGGGTTCTGCATGACCAGAACATACAAGCTAAGCAGGTTCAGCCCTGCTTAGTAGTGCCTGGGTGGGAGACTCCCCAGGAAGCCCAGGGTGGCTCTGCAGTGGCAGGCAGTGGCAAACCACCCCTGTTTGCCAGCCCTGACTTTGGATGGCCCCGGGGTAGCCTGAACATGGCAGATCTCAGAAGCTAGGTGGGCTTGGTCCTCCTGGTGAATATACCTGGGCCTCGAAAACCTCACCATGGGTTGGCATCACATCAGTCAGTTGTTATTTAAAGGTGAAGGTTCCCTTGCTCGAAAGCTAGTCGAGTCCGACTCTAGGGTTGTGGTGCTCATCTCTGTTTCAAAGCCGAAGAGCCAGCGCTGTCCGAAGACGTTTCCGTGGTCATGTGGCCGGCATGACTAAGCACCAAGGTGCACGGAACGCTGTTACCTTCCCTCTGAAGCGGTACCTATTTATCTACTTGCAATGTCTTGCTTTCGAACTGTTAGTTTGGCAGGAGCTGGAACTAGAGACGGGAGCTCACTCCGTTAGGCGGCACACTCGGGTCTCGAACTGCTGAACGACCGACCTTCCACAGCCTGCAGTTCAGCGTCTTAACCACTTGAGCCACCGCAGCTCCCTCAGTTGTTACTTGGCAGCAAGTAATTATTTCCCTGACCTGGATGGCCCAGCCAGTGCCCCATGTTGCCAGATCCCTGAAGCGAAGCGGGGTCAGCCCTGGTTAATACTTGGAGGGGAGACCACCAAGGAAGTCCAGAATTGCCACACGGAGGCGGACGACACCCTGAGCGTGTCTTGCCTTGAAAACCCTCTGGGGCCTCCATACGTCCGCTGCGCCTGGATGGCGCTCTCCACCACCACCGGACCCACGGAATACTCCCCTCCTGGCTTCCCACCCCATCCAGCACTACCATTGCCTGTTTACTGGTTAGACTCCCCGAGGCTGAGAGAGCATCAGCCTTCTCCGTTCGAATCCCTTCTTAAAACCCTCCTCTTCGACAGACCCTGAAACTTCACTGCCATCCAAACAAAGCTTCATTGTCAGGGCATTGTGATTCATTGGACTTTCCCCGTTCTAAAAACTTTTGATGGATTCAGAAGGTGCCGGTAACTGGGCAACGGGTTTCTTTTTTAAGGAACTAACTCTTTAAGAAATGCAAATAGTTGTAAGGGTTGTGTCATTTTGGAATAGCATTCCACCTCTCCTCTCACGCAGGGGAAGGAACGCTGCTTCTAAGACCCTTTCTCTTCGGAAAAATCTACGAGTGTGCCTCCCTCCCCCTTCAGAGGCCTTGTAATTATTGTCTTGACTAAATTCATACGATCAATAGACCGAGGAGACCTTCTTTCCATCAAGTGGCATTAACTGCATCTGCCCGCCTCTCTTCTCCTTCCATCGTCCTCCTCCTCTTCTGGACTCCTTGGCTGTTTGAAATTAGATTGGAAGCGCCTTGGGGCAGGGCGGGATGCGATGGTGGTTCGATAACCAATTGACAAGGTTTGGGATGCGCTCAGTCGCAGCCCAGCTTGCCTGCTGGGGGCTTTTCGTGCAAGAGAGCCGATTTTGTAGCTCAAAGGAGAGAGGAGCTTTCATGATGTTCGGGGGAGAGGATGCCGTCACCGGCTGGCCGCCCTGCAGAGAGGTCCTTTGGCGCTTTGGGCTGGCGAGTGTGGAGAACAAAATTAGGTTTTTAAAAATACAGTTAAGCCAAAAGATGGGGGAGATTTTTCTCAGTTGGGAGAGAGCGGGATGGCCCACGGGTTCAGCCTCTGGAAGGAAACTGTTCTGACTTGCATCGTCAGAATGGAAAACAGAATAGTGAGTTGCAGAAGGCCGTCTTCTTCATTGCTAACAGTTTGCAGGGGACCTGCCGAGAAACTTTGCTGGTGGAAAGTATTGTCCAGTCACAGCTGATGTCTGGCGACCCCGGAGGGTTTCCAGCACAAGAGACCTTCAGAGATGGTTTGCCATGGCCTGCCTCCGTGTCACAACCCTGGCATTCCTTGGAGGTCTCCCATCCAAATAACTAGCCAGGGCCTAGCTTCTGAGATCGGACAAGATCAGGCTATCCTGGGCTATCCAGGTCAGGGCGTTAAAAAGCTTTAGAGAAGTAGATCCTTCTAGTACGTGAACCCGTCGTTGAGTGACAGCTATATGTAGGCTGTGTGGTTGGTTAAAAAGGGGCGGGGAAAAAGAATGAGTTAATACTTTATTTGCAAAGCTGAAGCCGTTTAGTCATTAGTGTGTGGATTTCATTAGCGCAGCATGAGGCTGACGCCTAGTAAGTTAAGAAGATTTTAAAAAGAGGATTAGTGAAATTCAAGGCGGCATCTGGAGGGCGGAAGGAAACGTATTATTGCTTTCCACCAAGGGCCGTGGCGCGTTATATCTGCTGTCTGTCAATGGCGTTTTATTGCAGTGGACCAAATGGAACCTCCATGAGTAATGGTAGACTACCTCTGATAGGTGGATGGTGGAGACACATCCTACTGATTAGCATCCAGAGCCAGTTGGAAGCAGCAGAATACTGGGTTTGATGGCTCTTTGGTCAGTCCTGATGTGCTTCTTAGATTCCTGAATTTTATGCGGGTCGGTGTGCAAGATCTGTGCAGTTCTTTGACGGGACGTGCCAGTCATTTACTCACCACCACCACCCCGCTCCTTTGTTGCTCAAGAACTTGCAAGCAGGAAGGATTTTGCAAACAGAGTATTTGCTGGCGCCGATACGCAGCATTGTTTTGTACCTTGATTCCAGTGGGATTACTGTGTGTTGCCAAAAATTACAGAGGCAGGAACACAGACTTGAGCACAAGGAGGGGGCCCTGCCTTTATTATTATTCCTGCAAGGAGCTGGGGGTAGCAGTGTGGATCCCCACCCCCAATTTATAACCTCTTCCCAGGGTTCGGTCTCCAGCCAAGCTGAACACTGAAAAGGGTGCCCATGTGCTAACCGGGCTCAGTCCGCTCCCAGCCATCAGTGGTGCCAGTGTTCTGTCCACTGGAGCTTAACCAGAGCCCCTGAGAACTGTGCTTGGTCCCTTCTGCACAGTTCCCCCTTGGATCCTCTTTCTTGGTTGCACTGGAGCATGACCAAGAGACAGAATCCGGGAACTGGCCTTTGCATGTGATAAAGGTCTGCCAGCTGGCCGGCCAAGCGTGACTTAGATGGTTCAGTGGACTGAGCTTGGCAGGAAGTTTTCTTTTTAGGTGGATCCCTGATGTCTCTGGTTAAAAGGGCTTCAGGGCATCAAGGCCAGGAGAGACTTCTGTCGGAGACGTTGGAGTCTTGTGAGCTAAAGTTCTACTGGCATTAAAGTTGTGAGCGAGCGATTTGGCCGCTGCATACATTAGTTTGCTCCGGAGCTGTCCTTCCTGAGCTAAGACAAAAATGTGTGAGCCGGAGGCTAAAAAAAACTGTGAGCTAGCTCACACTCACTCAGCTTAGAGGGAACAGTGATCGTAACAGAGCAGAGGTGGATGGCCAAATGCAGACTCGGTTGTTGGCTGTTTTTCTGGGGTGTGTGTGTCCATTTAGCTGAGTGGTAAGAATTCATGCTCCGCGTGCAGAAGATCCCGCGTTCTGTCCCTGATATCTCCACGTGTTCGATGCCGTCAAGTCTCCAAGCCCCACAAGGAAAGGCTGAGGGACTTGGGAATGTTCAGTCTGGAGAAGAGGAGGCGGAGGGGGGACAGGATGGCTCCCTTGACGTATCTGAAGGGCTGTCCCTTCGAGGAGGGCAGGGAGCTGTTCTCGTGGGCAGCAGAGGAGAGGACGCGCAGTCATGGGTTTACATTCAGGGCGGGAAGGTAGGGAAAACTCTTTGACAGTCATGAGTTGTGCGACGGTGGAATCGGCTGCCCTGGGGAGGTGGTGAGCTCCCCCTCCCTGGCACTCTTTAAGCAGCGGCTGGACAAACCCTTGTCAGGACGCTCTAGGCCAGTGATGGCGAACCTTTTAGAGACCGAGTGCCCAAACTGCGACCCAAAACCCACTTATTTATATTGCAAAGTGCCAACACGGCCATTTAACCTGAAGACTGAGGTTTTACTTTAGAAGAAACAACTCCTACATTAACTTAAGATGATCCAAACAAAGTAAGGAAAGCAATCCCAAATGCTTTCATTTACTTAAAATTATTTGGCAGAGAATTCGACACTTTAATGGTGGTCTGGGCCTGGCTGGGGCGATGGCACGCGTGCCCACAGAGAGGGCTCTGAGTACCACCTCTGGCACCCGTGCCATAGGTTCGCCACCACTGCTCTAGGCTGATCCTGCACTGAGCAGGGGGTGGGACTAGATGGCCTCTAGGGTCTCCTTCCAACTCTGTTATCCTGTGATTCTATGACTTATGACAACCCTATGAATTAACGTCCTCTAAAACGTCCTGTCGTTAACTGAGGTCTTGCAAACTGAGCCTCACTGAGGTCTTGCAAACGGAGGGCCTTTGTGGCTTCCTCAACGGAGTCCATCCATCTCCTGCTGAGCCTTCCTGTTTTCCCGCTGCCGTCAGCTTTCCCCAACATTATTGCCTTTTCCAGTGACTCTTCTCCTAAGGTGACGTGCAAGTCTGTTGCTCCAGAAACGAAGCCAGGAGTCATGTGGCACCTCAAAGACTAAGGG